TTCTGGAGTAACATCGTTCAGTTATTTCTATCTTACCATTTGCTGTCTGATATTTCATGTCATCAGAGGCTCTGTGATCTTCTTAGCGTGAAAGTAGGGTGACCATACTTCATCTTCTTTCATGTGACTCTTTTTCTGCTAATTCATTCTGGTTCATGTTTGTCAAGGATGTCAGTCATATCCCTCAACACCAGCAAAATTACAAAATGAGAGGCCAATGGAAGTTATACAATTGGAAAAAAAAATGAGGGAAGAGTTGAAAAGGTGAATCTATATGGCACCAAGGTAAATCAGCAGTCCTGGAGAACTAAGAAAACAAGGAGCAAGCTCTTGCCTAGATCAGGGTTCGTGTGCACTCATACTTACTGTTACATCTTCATCCGTAAAATGTCATGTCGTTTAGCATGAAAGTCAATGTTGTGTTCTCACTCTGACATAACTGGTTGGCAGCTCCATACTTATCTGTCCTTTTCCTTGCCACCACCATCCATTACTGTTCTCTTATCTTGGTAGCCAATTTATCTGTTTCATTCACATGTTTCTCTGGGCTTTCTTCCACTGCAATCTTTGGTATGGGAATCTTTTCCTGGCCTGGCTCATAAACTTGCTAATTTTTCCATCATGTCTTTTCTGCTTTGGGCAGTTTCAAAGGTTTCTCTAAAAGGCAGTAGTTTTAATAAACAATTTATTTTCAGCTCATCTGCCACTGACAGTAGACTTCATTGATTATTGCCTCGTGTTCCTGCTACTAGTCCTGTTCGTCTTGTTTCATTACACTGTTTTAGAGTTGGGAAGTGCTTTTGGACAGGGATTATGCCATTGTTTCTTCTGGAAAATGACAAACTTGTGAGCTGTGTCATCATCGCTGTCTTCCTGATATTTCTCAACCTTATGCTTTGTCTTTATCTTTTTTTTTTTAAACCCTAATAATATTCTTAACCCTTAAAAAGCTGAAGTTTTCCACAAGCATTTGCTGTCAATTTTAATGAAAAGCACAGTTTTTCTGAGCAGAGATTGCAGGACCAGTCCCAGGGTTTGTGGCACCCTGCAGCAGCAAATTCTGGAAAGTCATCTGTAGAGTTTCAGAAAAGTCCTCTGAAGAGGAAGCGAGGGAGCTGACACAAGAAGAAGTTACTGTGAAGGTGGGCAGCTGTCTCAGTCTTCCACAGTAGCTGTCTGTGCTGAGCAGGAAATGCAAAGCAGCAGAACTTCTTTAATGGGAAGACTGAAACGATCCCAGTGGCTGAGGTCACTGTATTGGAAAAACAAGTTCTCTGTTGAGCTAGACGGAGCTGGTTCACTGGGCTCACTACTTCGCTTGTGATGTTGTGGAGCAGCTAGCATGCAGGAAAAGTTCACACCCTGACCACACAGCAGCACGTGTGTCTGCTCATCCGTTAGGTTTGCATGGGAAAGAAGTTAGAAGCTTTGCTCATTGCAGGAGCTTTGCAAAAGAATTTCCAGAGCTGATAGCGGGGTCCCTTTACTGTGTCTGTTTGTGCTTCGGCTGCCACTAGAGACTGTGGAGGGTGGTGGCTGCCATTGCTAAAACCTCTGGTAACTGCTCTTTTTTCAATTATCTGACAACTGAACTGTCTCACATTTAAGTTTTTTTCCAGCAGCTGCTACGTCCCTTAAGGGTGGTACAGTTGTCAGGAAAGAGAGCTAATCACTAGGCAAAGGAACAGTCTTGTTTCAGCAAAAGGTATTAACTTTTCCAGCCATTCACCTTACATAAGCTTTTCTTGCATGTGCCAGAATTTTTTCTTGTCTTTTGGCTAATTTAGTGACTGTAAAATATCAAAATTGTACTGGGTCGCAGAGTTGCAACCTATTTCACCTGAGAGAGCTGAGAAAAACCTGTTCTTACTGCTGCTCATTTTCAGTCATCTGCCATGTTTCATCCCAGGAGAGCAGCACACAGCTTGTCATTGAGACAAATTTGTTAGGTGGTATACAGAGCCCTCCTACAGCTGGTGCTTGTAGGATAGGGAAGTTTTATGTGTATAGTTGGGAAAGAAGTAAGCATGAGGAGATAGTTAATAGGTTTTTGTCTTTTCATCTTTGGCTTCTCAGTCTTGCTGACTCAGTGGGCAGTGATCCTGTGCTGTCAGTCACATCTTCTCTGGCACAAGTGGTTTTTGTAAGAAAATTTTTAATTAACTGGAATTAAGTTAATTTTCTAAGAAATATTTTTATTGCTGCATATGAACGCACAGAGGCTATGCAGTGTAATTTTGGGATCGTTAACTCTGCACTATTATATGGCTATGTATTGTTTTCAATTCAGAGGAATTTTACATGGATTATTAATAAAAACTATAAAAATCCAGTTTTCTCCTTTTTATTTCTGTAACTGTTTCACATAATAAATTGAGATTTCTAAACCTACATTGTATAGTCAATTTCTCAATCACTGTGAAAGAAATGGAATGTTTGTTGTCTCTGTCCTTTGGAAAACAAAGTCCTATTGTCAGAGTATGGGTGACTGCACTTTGTTCCTCTCTACATTGTTCCTCCATACGTAAGTAAACTTTTTTCTTTATTGGCAGCCTATTATCTTTTTTTCTTTTTCAGCAGAGATCTGCAGAGCAAGTCCTAGTGACATTTCTCACTTACTGAAATATTTCTGTCATTGGTGTTTCCAGTAGTACTTATCTTTTTAGAGTTTTGGAGCCTGTTCTGATTTTTGAGAAGTCCCTAGTTTTTGCCTGTATCTTGCAGACAGCAAGCAAAATCTAATGTCAGACATCATCCTCTGGGCCCACAAAATCTCAGGGCTTTAATACTTTTTGTGTCTTGAGCAGTTGGCCTGCTGCATCAGCAGGCATTTTCAAGCAGAACGTGGGTTTTTGATGCAGAAATGGCAATACAAAGTGTACGTATCACTTTGAGATGGCTTTTATAGAAACATTACTGACGTGGTTTTACAAAGTTGTATTTGGACAGGTTTAACCTATGGAGATGGAGGTAAATAACATAGTGTCTGGAGAACCCCAGGGCAGTGTTGTCAGTTTGGGCAAACAAGATAGCACTGTCCCTAGCCATCCTGGGGACAGGGCAGGGACAGGTGGATGTTATATGCTGGCTGACCTGTGCTACATTTCTGGTCATATACTTATTACCTGTCTTAATTCTGAGCATAATTCTGTTTTGAAGAATACCTGCAAACTGCAGGCATTTTACAAATCAGGGATTGTAATTAAACCCGTTTCAGTATTAATCACTTTTAAGAATAGTAGGTGATTATGTTGTTGGTATTTTTAAAATGGTCAGAGTGATATCCAGTCTTCTCAGTTCAGGAATCTCTCAGTATCAGATGTTCCAGATTGGTAGTATCTGCTAATGTAAAACCTCTACCTTGAGAAGGATGTCCGAAGGTTGAAAATAAACTGAGCTTTCATTGTTACATAAACAGGCCAGGGAGTATGCATGCTTTGATACCATTTTTTCTGGTAAGGTAAGTATCATAGAATCATAGAATGATTTGGGTTGGAAGAGACCTTTAAGGTCATCTAGTCCCAACTCCCCTGCTGCAGGCAGAGACATCTCCCACTAGAGCAGGTTGCTCAGAACCCCATCCAGCTTCTAGGGAGGGGCATCCATAGCCTCTCTGGGCATCCTGTTCCAGAGTTTCACCACTCTCACAGTATGAATTTCTTCCTAATATGTAGACCAGAACTGGATGCAGTACTCCAGGTGGGGTCTCAGCAGAGTAGAGGGGCAGAATCACTTCCCTTGACCTGCTGGTCACACTTCACTTGGTGCAACCCAGGATATGGTTGGCCTTCTGGGATGCAAGCACCCATTGCCAGCTCATGTTGAGTCTTTCATCAACCAACAAAGTAAAGTCTTTTGCTTTAATTTCCCCTGCTGCTGCTTTTAACTATAGAAAAGGTGTAAGGTGGTACCCAACATTCCCTGTACTTCCTAAGGAACTTTTTGGTAGTCTCAGTAAATTTACCAGCAGATATTTATAGATTAATCAGAGAAAGAATGTTATGAATCTCTAATGATATTTTTTAAATTATTTCTCAAATGGCTAGTTATTGAAGTTTATTGTAATTAAAGGAGCTTAAAGTTTCATGAGTGTCTTCCTCCTGCAGTTGCTCAACTGTTTCTTTGGTGTACTTTTTCTAATATTATGACTACATACAGCTAATAATCTTATCAGTGATGCCACAACAAATGGAAATTGGGTTTGTAGAAATTATTTGCCTATTTCTTTCATATGGAACATCTCTTCTATCTTGCATTTGTGTATTTGCACTGATAATAACAGATTACCCTGCTGTGACAAGATGTATTGAAATTTGTGACACTACTGTGACAGAAAACATGTCAAAAAGGAGATCATAGTTCTAACCAAGGCATCACAGCCATTCTGTGCTTTTTTAGAACTGTTATTATTAGCCAGTGTCGTTTACCTAAGCAAGGAATAGAGCATGTTTCCATAATACAGCAGATTAAATCCCATCCATCTAACCTTTCCTGATAAAGAATGTTTATCATTTGTGTGTCTTTAGCAATTTTGTCATCAATAAAATAGTTGTACTGATAGGCAGGTTATCCAGCGTTGACTTTTCTTACAGTTAGCAAGCTTACCTAGTCTGGAACAGTTTTATAGTTTATACCCATAAACAATTAGGTAAAACAAGATACAAATCAAAATCTATTATTAAAATATCTTAGATGGAGTAGCAGTAATTGATAAATTCAAATGTGAAACTTTATTTCTACATCTCTGTATTTAACCGTTTTCACAGTCTGATCATTTGTTTCTAGGTCAGTCGTGTGATTTAAAGTTCCAGTGTAAATAGGGTTTGGAAACTACCTCAGTACCTGGGATTCTTTGCATACCATAAGCTGTCCGATTCAGTGAAAGTTACAATTTCTCTTATCTTGAACTTGTGCTCTGATGCTATGCTGAATCTTGATTTTGGTACAAGCTGACCAAGTCTCATTGCTAACTGTCATGCCTTTCTTTTTCTCTGTTCTAGCTGAGACAATCACAGTCGTACTGCACAGACACAGAATGCCTTCAGGAATGTGAGTAACTGTTAAGATCAGGAGCATGGAAGTAAAATAAACAGCTGTAATTAAATGTTATAAGAACATACTAAATGAAATCAAATACTGCTGTACTGAAACCATTATGTGAGGGAGGTAATTCCTGAGAATTTGTGACTCAGATTTAACATTTGTACATGAGATGCATCATATGGAAGAGGATGCTGAGCAAGTGGGAGATGTCAGTACACCAGCACCACGGATGATCAAGCCCCAAGTATTACAAGTATCTTAACACTAACTTCCAAGTAAGATTATTTAAAATTCTTTCAAAAGAGAGAATTTGGAGGAGAACTTTATTTTTTTCCTCACTGTCATGGCAGCTGAATATCATTGGATATTCAGCTAAGGCAGCTTTGGCTGATAAGCTGACATAGGCCACAGCTGCATTTCTGTTTGACTTGGTGGCTGTATAGTTAACAAAGCAGAGTACTTATTATATACACTTCCTTGAAACTTGCTGTGAAACACATCAAGAATACCTTCCAACAAATGAGCGTGACTGGGATGATCAAGTGTTACCAGCTTCTGTTGAGAAGTATAGCTGTGCTGAGATTATGCAGTAATGTGAACATGCCCTCAGGTGCTCTGTTTACACTTTTCATAGTCTAAAGGAAACATTGCCAAGTGCTTATAAATAAAAATGAAGTGGATCTGTTTTTCCTATACTGCTTTACTATATGAGTGAGCATATGAGCTCACTCAATTAGCCTATATCAGGACTATTGTAAAGACTTCCAGGGAACACCTGAGCTCCTGAAAGTAGAAGCTGCTGTTACTCTTCTAGAAGAAATGCTTGTGTCTCCTATGGGTCTGAGACCTGGTAGAGGTTTCCAGGATCCTGGGGTGAATGCATGCTTTCCTTCACTCTCACGTTCCTTCATCTTCACTCTACAGTAAATCCTGTTCAGAGATGGGCATCTAGGTTGTACTTGCACCGTGTCTTCCCTGCATGAAACACTCCCAGATTCATTGTCAAGATAGGCTGAAGGGGAAAAATTATGATACTCCCTGAAAAAAAAAAAAAAAAAAAAAAAAAAAAAAGAGTGGGAATCATTTCTGCTGTAACAATGCTACTGGCAGTGTTTTTCCTTTTGGGCTTTCCAAATTTGCTGTATGTCTGGGACCTCCATCATGACTCCTCTCCCTAATGTAGCTGTCCTTGGGAAGATGTTTTAGTCTCCTTCCTTAGGCTGCTATGTCTAGTTTCTTCTTCAATCTCAATTTTTTTCTTGAATCCAGGAGAGGGAAAGGCAGGTGACAGGAATTAGGCTGTGCAGCCTTGTGAGCTGTAGTTCATGGTTGAAACCAAGCAATGAAACATTCTCACTTAAACCTGAAGAGTCATCAATATTTATGAAGCTCTCAGGCTAAGGGCTGTATGAGTAAGTCCTGTTATGTATAGGCACAAAGCTTGTGGGATAGCTTTCAAGCTATACAGTCATTGTACAGTGGAGACGTGAAGGGACTGTGGCAAATAGCTTTCCATCCTGAAAGAGATCCTTGCAATAGCTCTCTGTGCAGATGCAAGCAATTTGGCAGCAATTGTTCCAAACCAGTGGTTTGTTTCAAAAGCCCAAAGCAGAAATTATAGAGTAAATCCTTTCTACATTATTATGTTGCCTTAAATTTAGTTCCAGCAAAGGTATTTTTTTGCTGATGCAATCACAGTGACTGCCTGTCAGATTTCTGTGATTCTTCTGTGGTTCCATGCTTGAGCCAACATGAGGTCTGTGAGACTCCCAGGAGTTAAAGGCAAAAATAAACAGATCGAGCCTGGAGAAGCTTCTAGAGACATTTTCAGACGTAGATCAAAACAATTCTGGGCTAATCTTCTGTCTGTTGCTTCATACCCTTTCTTTTCAGCTATATCAAGATGAACTTAAGTTTGAGTTGGATCTCCTCTTCTCCAGGCTCCATTTTGTGTTACTTGCTGCCTTTGATTCCTCATTTCCAGACCTTGATATGAAGAAACTTGTTATACTCCCACCCATTTGCTCATTCCCTGGATTTGGTCTTCCTTTTGGAAGCACAGCTGGGAATGTTGTCATAGACAGATTCTTAAGTTGCAAGGTTGTGGAATAACTGATGAAATGTGTGTGGTTTTGTTTTGGGAAATGTCAGGGCTGTGGTTCAGCCTGTGTCACAGCAACGTCATGTGTTGTGCTTGTGCTGTTGCAACCAGCTGGAAGTTATCAGAAACACCCTACATTGATTCTTCCCGAGAACACTTTGTTTCTTTAACTCTTGGTATCAGATCTTTTGTAGATATTTGGAGCCAAGTCAAAACAGTAGCACTAGCTGAAGTACAACACTCCCTCACTCAGATTTTTGTGTTATTAGCTCTAAATTCTTACTTTCAGTTGTTAGCACCATTACCCTCTGGAAAGTTTCCTACCAGGACTGGAATGAATGCTTTCAGATTTACACTCCTACATATGGGAGGAAATGAGCACCACTTCATAGAGCATTTGGGCACTCTGCTTGATGGCTGTTCTCCATCAGGATACCTGCTGTGATGTAAAGCACGCATCAGTCTGATCACTTTTCCCTCCATTTCAATGGGTGCATTGGAGTGCATTTTCCAATGGCAGTATCAGTGGTTCATCCAGTTCAAGGAGGCTCTACAGCTGCTGCTGGGCTACTTTGATGGCTAGTGGCCCTTCAAAGTCATCCTATTCTGTGAAAGGAAATTAGGGACTGCCACCTGAGTTTAATCTCTGTGTTTGAGCAATTTCCAGATGTTCTGGTCTGGAATTAGCACATTCATATTTTGATTACTATTATTTTCAGTGCTCTACTAGTTTGTAATGTTAACAGTCAGAGATGATTGTCTGAAATGTTGTCTATCCTACTTCCAAATTTTTATGTATTTTAAAATGAATCTGTGACTCATCTTGAGTTGTACTCCTCCAGGGGAGTCACAGCAGCCTGACCTAATGGCATGAAATGTCTGCCAGCTCTTCCCTCCCTTTTCTGGTAATTCCCTTCTCCCTTCCTCCACTCAAATCCTCTTTAGATCTCTTCAGTTTTCTTGTCCCTGCCTTTGATTTTGTCAGCTTGCATGGATTATCTGCTGAAGGTCCCACAGGCTCTTTGTCTTCCTCAATGATTCATCTATAAAATACTTCTCTTCATATGGTTTCATGCATTTCTTTCACAGAACATGCAAGGTTAAAAACACTGTGGAAAGGTGTAAGTCAGAGAGCGTATTTTTGCCTTTCCACATTGAAGAAGTTAAATGGTTAAAAGCTGAGCATCCAAGAGGAAATAGTATTGCCATGAGATGGCAGACTAAAAGCATCACAAAGTTTCTACTTTTGCAGTAAAAGAAATGCAGTCTTTCCTCTTTTTTCTCTAGAGTGCAACCTCACATTGAATGAAAAATAGCACTTTAAGAAGAGAACTAATCTCTTGTCAGGAGTACTTAACAAGGCATTTGCTTATTTTAATTCTTGAGATTTCAGCTGTATGATCATGATGTGGTTGACCTTCAGTCTGTAGAAATTATTTTTCCCAAATTTATCATTTTAGTAGTTTTGACTGCCATACAGTAGAACATTAAATGAGGTGGTTACATAAGGTTTTTTTTGTCTTCTTGTCTTTTTCTGAGAGAAGGCTAGCTTATATGGCCGACTGCTGTGCCTGTCAGTCTGTTTCTATAGGTGAAAGCAAGCCAAACAATTGTATCTTGCACATGGAACAACAGTTGTGACTCACTGTAGTCATTATCTCCTATGAGTGGTAATCCCAGTCTCAGAGCAACCCCTCATAAAGCTTTCTCCTCCACAGAGATAACTGTAAAAAATTCCAAGGGATGAACTGTTCCCAGGCTTCGTTCAGAGTTCCTGGGTAGGTAGGCAGACTCAGTCCAAGGGATCAGAGACAATGAAAATAAAGACCTTGGGCTGGATTTGGTAGTCTGGCTAGAGAATATAAGCTTCACTTCACCCCGTGTAACAGCTTGCAAGGGGGAAATGTGTCGCAGCATTCCATAGCAATTGGTGTCACCTAGGAACTGAAAATTAAGAACTGATTTTACTGTAATCAAAATGGATGGCAGGGGCATTCATCTGTGAGATCTGGACAGGACAGTTTCCTAGTCATCTGGAGATACTAGAAAATATCACCCAGAGATATTCTTAAAAGCAACCTATAATCTTAAAGAAATCAAAAGACCACCCCAACATTACCTGCAAAATATAAATTGTAATTAAAACCACTTTGTTTGTGAAATCTCAAAATATTTTTTCTATCCATAGATGATGGGTAGATGGATAAATTCCATCCTACTTGGTTTCAGCTTCACTTGGCTGTTCTTCATCCGTAAGCTGGTCTCATCTGATTGTTTAGTGACCTCTGTGATGGAACTTTTCTTAGTGAAAGGTTCACAACATATTATTTTTCACAGTAGCTGTAACAGCTTCTTGTTTGTTCTTCTGATTTCTGTTGCAAAGCTTGGAAAAGTGAGACACCCCATCTATGTGAGACTTCGCTTATCCTCACCTCCTTATGTCAAGAGATCAAAGTAGCAGATTCTGAAATATCTCACATCCTTATTAAAACATATGGTCATTTGTAAATGAAGAGGCTTTAACGGTACTTGAATAGTATAAACACTATTGTGGCTGTTTTCATATCTAGCATGCTTTGAGTAGGTAGTACAGGGCCAACTGTGTTAGATCAGCTGTTGCCTTACTTAGTCTAGAACACGTTTTGGCGCTTTTGGCTCAATCCAAACTGTATTACAAAACAGGCTGGGTAGAAATTGTGTTATAGGAATGCCTGTGGTTTCCCACTGTGGTTCCTTTTACTGCTTTCCATGACCTGTAGTGTCAATTGTATGAGAAATCAAGTCTAGCACATCACCTGAACTTTCATTGCTCTCCTGAGCGTACATAGCAAAGCAGGTACCCCAGGCTGTCCTGTGTGCTGCTGAAGGTGGTCTCAGGGTAGCTGCTAATGTTGTCCAGAAGCTTAAAAGTAAAGCAGTTATTCATTTCATACAAAATTGTGTGCTGCTTTGCTGGCCTTCATATATAGTGAAGGTCATCCAAGATTTAAAATACTGTTAAATCATATTATATATGCTTTCTGAGTCAGTCTTGTGTTAGAATTTAATGAATTAAAGGCTGTAACATTCTCATTTATTATCTTTGCACTGCTCCTCATATATAGCACCTTTTATGGATTCAGACCTCCAAGAGAATTTTTCAGTGTGTATTATGTCAGTAAAGGGCATCAGTACAACAGCCCCAGTGTTCATTCAGATAGCTGTGTGTGGAATAACTGTAAGCTTCCCCACAGTGCCCTGCTTCTCTGTTTGAGCTGTGTTATGAGGAAACTGCTTTCAAAGAAGAGCCTCTTTTGACAGTGGTACCTGGTATCACAGTGATGATTCTTCAGGAGCAGCAATTGCCTTCAAGGAAATGACTGACTTCAGCAGTTCACTGGGTATGAGTTGTCTAACAAATGATAAATAATAGCAGCTCCCAACAAGTGGTGCATCCAGCCTTGACTCCAAAATGAGATGGTTCGTGGAGTTGATGAAACAAGTGAAAAAATCTGATGGATACAAGCGTCCTCATGTGTTAAAGGTTTTAGCTGGAGTAGTAAAATAGAACAGACCTTCCTGTTCTGAAGGTTATTCATTATAGCTTTGTATTAATTGCTTTTGAAAACAAACAGTTAACACTTAAAATCAATAATAGATTTTCTTGTGGTTTCAGAAAGTCCATTTTCAGAAAGCAAGAAAAGAAAATTAGCTTTTTACAGTACTAAACAAAGTGCTTTGATTCATGTGATTTTATGGACTAGAATATTACTTGCTTTATTGTCAGCATAAAGGGGAAGATACTGATGAAGATGCTGATGAAATGAAGATGCTAATCTTGAGAATCAAGTTGAATACTGTGCTGTGTTACAGATCTCATGTGTGGTGGTCAAGCCACAAGATCAAACAGGGTTTAATAGTGTTGGTCTGCTGTGTGAATACTGTTAGGTCACCGAAGTACAGCACTGAAGTTGGCATGGACCTCTGGGTCCACCTGGACCAAACCCTGCTCAAGCAGGGACACTCAGAGCAGAGTGCCCAGGCACATGTCCGGATGGCTTTTGAGTATCTACAGGGATGGAGACTTCACAGCCTCTCTCTGAGCAACTTATGCCAGCACTTAGTGACCTTCACAGTTGTTTCCTGGTGTTCAGCCACCTGTGTTCCAGTTTGTGCCCATTGCCTCTTGTCCTGTCACTGAGTACCACTGAAAGGAGCCTTGCTCTGTCCTCTTTGCACTCTCGCTTCAGGTGTTTGTACTGATTGGTGACATAGCCTGGAGACTTCTCTCCTCTAGTGATCAGTCCTACTTGGGGCTCTGCCCAATCCAGATAATTAATGAAGTTGTTAAGTCCTTAAATACTAGTGTAAATAGACCCATGTAAGTACTGTAAGTCATGGTTAGTTATCTGTACATTGGTTCATGCTTCACTTGACAACATTAGCTATGATTTGATTATTTTAAATTGCATTTCACAGGGGAAAAGTTGATATTTTCAAATGTGCAAATATTTGCAAGACCTTCTTGATCCAGAAACACTAATCAACAGTCCAAGGGGATATTCTCAGTTTTATTTCCATGTGATTGTGTCTCAACATCTTAGTTAATATAAACTAAGAAATATTTGTAGTAATTCTGAGCATTTCAGAGAAGTCTTATGAAATAGATTATCTCTTTTCAAAGAGATAAGAAACGTGTTTTTTAGAAGTCTAACACTAACAAAGGATTACCTGCCTTAAAGACAAAGGAAGAAGTAATCAGAAAATTCTATTGAAAAAAATTTTCCTTAGATTTTTGTTTGGGCTTTTTGTTTGTTTGTTTTGTTTTGTTCTGTTCTGTTTTCATTCTGAGGAAAGAACTGCTGTCACTCTGTTTTGTAACTTGAGTTTTCCTTGTATGTAGTGCCAGGACCAAATTTCTCCGGTGACAATGTTGTCAGCTTTGCCATGGTAGTGATGGCCTGGGTTGTGATTGCATTCGTCTTGTTCTTACTGAGACCTAGTAATCTGAGAAATTCCAGCACAGCCGGAAAGCCCACCAGCCCACATAATGTAAGTGACTGTAGTAGTTTAACTATATTTGGTTTTAATACTGACCATGCTATAGTCTTTTTTTTTTTTCCTTTAAAATGTTCTTTGTGTATTTTCTTTTCCGTTTTCTTGGAACTCTACTAATAGTGAAAATAAGTAAAATCAAAGTGAATGTAGAATTATGAAGGCCAGCTGTGAGCTCTGCCATGAAATGGAGCAGATGTAGTTGCCTGAGAGTTGGTTATGATGTTCTCTGGACACTGTCTCTGGTTGGAACTGTTCCCTGCCTTCTTATGTGACAATTTTAGAGAAGTCAAAAAAGTCACATCATAAAACTTGGGAAGGTGACCTTCATCCTAGATGTAGGATCTTGGAAAAAATCACTGCTGGTGCAGGAAACAGTATTGTTGTCTGATGCTCATATACCTGGAGACTGAAATAGGTAATGAAAGACCTTAAAGCACAATGTAACTCTCCTGGGGTTTTGTTTTGTTTTCAATTGCTCAATTCTTCTCTGTGAGACACTGTTCCTAATACTCTTTGTGCTCTTTTTTCTTTTCCTCTGTCCTACCCCTAGGGACAAGAACCACCAGCCCCACCACTGGACTAGAGCTTTCAGTATCAGAGAAGTTCAGCAGCTAAAACCTTGCACGACCAAATGAACGAAGTGACCAGATTACTGCAAAACTCCCTTCAATACTGTCGTTTTCTCATTTATATAGTGCAGAATTACCATTCAGCAGTTATGTTCATGAACTACTTTTAGCTACTTCAATTTTGCTTTTATGTTACTACAATTCCTAGTAGATCATAATTTGAATAATGATGAGGCATTGCAGGGTTTTCTGGTTGTTATCATAACTGCGGACATTCCACTCATTGTCTTTCTGTTACAGCAATCTTAATTTCTTTGCAGTGGTTTCTGATATTCATTGAAAGAAAATTAAAATTCCTGTGCATCTATAGTAATGGGAATTATTACTGATCTTTCTTCAGATAAATCCATATTTTTTCTCCATTATACTTTTAAGAGTTGCATTATAGTCACAACTGTTATTTTACAGATGTGGTGAAAAGCAAAGAAATTATTTTGTATTTGCCCTGGTCCTTGGACCACTAATGTAGTTTTCAGGGCTGTTGGCCAAAGCACGAATTTTCCACTAGAATTAAATAATGTGCATGTGTATGTGCACGCAAAGAAGTGAATGTGATAATTGCCACTGTCAAAGCTTAGACATATGTATTGAGAGCTGTACAAAAAACAGGATACCACCAAAAATTAATTTAATCATGTTCTTTAGTAAATGATATATCTTATTCAATATATTGTCAAAAACATATATTCCAAAACCAGATTTGTTTACTTACTGAATTTATGAAAAGAAAAATCTAAGTGAGAAGAACTTGGTAGAATTTTCTGTCCTTCTTTAGTCTTTTAATAATCAGTATCTTAAGTTTTTATCCATAACATAACGTATATTGAGCAGGATGAATTCATACCGAGAGGTTACCAATTTCTGGTATACAAAACATTCTGGATGTTCAGGTTTTTTCACCTGTATGTTATCAGCTATTCCTAACATTTCATCCCTACTACTGGTTGTAATTGTAGAATAACGAAATTGCAGGTGACTACGTATGGCATGTCTTTTCCCTCTAATACTTGTGTGTATGTGTGGTGTGATTATGCGTGTGTATGTGTGGCTGTGCGCGTACAGGTGCACATCTCCCATTATAGCAAATGGGAAGGAATTTTTTATGTACATTAATTTAAGAACATTTTAAAGATGTACAGAAAAGCAACACTGTATATTTTTCTTGATCAATATGAAAAAATGATGAAAATAACATAAAGAACATTTTTATGTTACCAACACAAAGCTTCTTTCCATAACGGTCAGTAGAGCAGATAAATGGGGATTCAAGGCCTTACTCTAGAAACCTTTTTTTTCCTTGAGGACTTTAGTTGTGGAGCTGAAAGGACTAACTGTTCATATGCATAAAGGTTTGTATTAATGGGCTCTCACAAAAATCTCATTTCAGATCCCATGGTTGGTAGACACAGATTTTTCCTCCTCAGGGCAAACGATGGGCCAGCTGAGCCTCCTCGCAAAGGAGCAGTGCAGACCTGAAGAACAGCCTCTGTAACCTTATGTAATTGCCCTTTAAATTTCTTTGGAATAGTGTGCTCCCAAGCACCCCAGTACTTGTTAAAAATCCAAACAAATAAGTTCTCTCAGTGACAGAGATGCAGTGCTGTGTAAAGCAATGGAGTTGCAGCAGAGAAACAGGGAGTTTGTTCTGTTGTGTCTAAAGGTGTCCAGGCCACAAACACTGTGTAAAAATGCCACTGGGACAAACAGTCTGACTGTGCTTGCTCTTTGCCTTCCTAGTACATTTATAATTTGGATGCTGTTTGGAACAGAAGTAGTAGTACAGAATCATTTTGTTGAACCAGAAAGAAGTATGCATTATCGGCTACACTGACCTTTTCTCCAAGAATTTTTGGCCAGAATCCTTCACTACTGGATGCAGAAAACAGGTTTCCAATTGATTTAAAAAAAAACCACCAACAACAAAAACCAACTACTGAAACAGGCTTCATTTCAGCCAGAGCAAGCCATTCCTCATCCTGCTGGAGGCTGGTGAGATTTATAGCAGATGCTCCTCATTCATGAGCATCATTATTGCTTTTCTTAAATGTCCATGGATGTATTTATGAACCTCACTGTGTGCTCCCAACTCTAGTGGTCTTGGCAAACAAACTTTTGGTTCAGAGTAGTGTTGTGTTTTACTTTTAAATGAATTGTCTTTGCTTGAAATTCCTCTGAGTAATTGTCCCAGTGATTTTATGTCTGTATGCTTTCCTCATAAAAATTGCTATTTTAAATTTTCTATGTAAAAGAAAAACATTGGAAATATTTTATTGTGAAATATTTTACTAAAGAGCCAGGCCACTATCCCAAATCAAAATGTATGCCTTTAAATTCTGATATTTTCTCTAAACATAACCTCCAGATCACCACTCTTAATTAAAAAATGACTAATGATAGGACTGTTTTGCCACTCTTATTCATGTTAAGTAGTGCCTTACTCATCTGGTAGTTGCACTGAAGTTTGTGGAACTACTCTGAGATAATGTACTAGTAGCAGCTTTAGTAAGAGTGGCAGAAATCTGGCCTTTAGTGATGTAGTTTGCAATGGCATAACCGTGTTATCTTGGTTCCAGGTGCTTATGATAAATTTTGAAAAGAAAGGCAGAAGAGATAAGTGGGATGCAAAGCTTCAGGTATGATTAATTCTGCAATAAGGGTTTTAAGCTCAGTTAGTAAGAGACACAAGTTGTAGCAACTTGGGAAATGTGGAGGAAAGTTTACAATTATACCTTCGCTTAGAACTTTGTTAAAACAATAGTATTTTTAGAGTCTGCTTAACACAATTATTATACTCTAAAATGAGAAATTGTATGTATTCATGTATTGTCTGCAGATCACTTAACCTTGTAATGTTCACTATTGAAAAAGGAAGAGTGATGATGTGATGTATCTAATGTAAATCGGTGGTTTAAAATGTCTGAATTATGCCAAACAAAAAATCATCTGTGCCATTTGCGGTTTCCTAGTAATCTTTTACTGAGTACTTGGATTGGGATAAAGGGCTTGTACTATGCACTTTTTATTGACTTAACAAAATAAATAGCAATCATTAGTAACCTTTTGTCTTGGTCTGTTAGACTTTGTATAAGATGTAGGACTACGCCAACCTATTAATTTCTAAATTTGAAATAATCTAAAAATAAATATCTCGTAAAATAGAATGGCATGTGTATAACTTTAAAAATGTAAGCTGTAACTTTTCAAACAGACCTGTGCCTTCTGTATCTCAAGCAAGTCAGAATGAAGAATGAAGGCAATTTTAATTTTAGACAGCCCTGCTTCTGCAGGAAGAGCTTTGATATCTGGTATGTGTGTGGTTTTCAGAAGAACATCATAGAATCATAGAATCTTTTGAATTGGAAGGGACTTTTACAGGTCATGTAATTCTGCAACGAACATGGATACCTACAGCTCCATCAGGGTGTTCAGAACTCTGTCCAGCTGGCCTTGGATGTCTCCAGGGACGAGGCATCCACCACCTCTCTGAGCAAGTTCTTCAAGTACCTCACCACCCTTATTGTGAAAAACTTATATCTTAAATTCAATCAAAATCTCCCTTCTTTTAGTCTGAAACCATTTCCTCTTTTCCTATCACAACAGATCCTGCTAAAGGATCTGTCCCCTTCTTCCTTAAAGCCACCCCTTTAGGTAGTGAAAGGCCACTCTCAGGTCTCCCCTGAGCCTTCTCTTCTCTGGGTTGAACAGCCCCAGTTCTTTCAGCCTGTCCTCGTAGGAGAGCTGTTCATCCCTTGGATCATTTTTGTGGCCCTCCTCTGGATGTTCTCTACTAGGTCCACATCTCTCCTGTTCTGAGGATTCCACATCTGGACACAGTACTCTAGTTGAGGCCTCACAAGTGCAGAGTAGAGGGGAAATGAGAAAAAGGAAAAAGAAAAAAAAAAAAAGAAAAAAAAAGAAGAGTATTTACTGAACAGTGGATAAGGCCTTCAGCTATAATCATGCCTGGGAGGAAATCTGAACAATTTCTGTGTATATGGAGAGATTTAAAGAATCTAATTAGAGGAAGGTCATACACTGGAAAGCAAAGCTTTGTTGTGCAAGAAATAAAAGCATAGAGTTTGAAAAGACATTCTCCATTTTCAGAGTAATCTTCCTTTGATTTTTATAGGTTACTTTAAGCCTGCATGACTTTGGGGTTTTATTTATATTGCTATATTGTCTTTGAGTCCAGCTGAAGTTGTTGTCCAGATGTATGAAAAGGTTCATGGACCCTGACCAAAAACTTGCTGCATTTTAGAACAAATTATAATAATTGCAGTTTGGGGGTGCTGGTTGTCACTAACAAAAGCATCGCATGAGATTAATCATAAACTGTTTAAGCCTGTAAAGAGTCAAGCTCAACAGCAAAGTCAAGGTGAGCTGCAAAGGTAGAGGTGAGTAGAGTGCATGCATACGAGCATGCTGAGCAGAACCAGGTCCTCTGCCTCGCAATGACTCGAGGCTGTGCCACTGTGCCCAGTCATGTCACAGCTGGCTCTGAATACATGTGGGAGCAAAGGCACTCAGCCATGTGTCCTCTTTACAGTGTACAAAACTGCCATATGGTTTTTGTGATGCAGCTGCATGAGCCTTTTCCACAGGAGCGCACAGGCCCAATCCTACATGTTCTTGTGTAATCTGTTCAGCTGCATCTCCTTCCTTCCTCTCAGCATTGCACAACACAAAGCATGGATTCAGGCACAGGTCCAGTAGGTCTGTGGACAAGTCCTGCCCCTTGCTCCAGAAGTGCCTGCAGCTCAGACCACACTGTATGTGTGGGACAGCCCCTGGGCTGGGCTTGTGATCAACAGGGCCAGGCGGACAATGGCGTTTGTTGAACCTGTGTCAGATGTCAGCGTACCAAACTGCTTGCACAAACACAGCTGCCTTTGGTTAATGATCAGCTCAAATCTTAACCTGACTTTACACACTCACTAGATTGACACAAAACTTCCTTCACCCCCAGGGCTCTTTGCTAATCCTTTATCTCACCTCTGCTACCAAGGTGCTGACCTGGTGGCTACACTGTCACACGCTCATTTTCTCTTCTTTTCTTCCCTCCGCACCCTCCCCCCTACCCCCATCCCACAAGTTCTTCATAAATTGCAATCTCTCTGGTGTCATGTAACACTGTATACGGAGGTGAAGGCTGGTCCCTCAACTCAGCACCGACATTCAGATCGCCTCAGGTCCGCAGCTGCCAGGGAGGCAGGGATGTGGCCTCCAGCCCGCTGCGCCATTCCTCACACAGACGGAGCACACAGCCGGCGCTCACGCTGGTACGTGCTCTGGCCGCTGAGCTGTTACATTAAAACAACATCAACACTTGCGTTGGCCAAGTTTTTTGAATGAAGCACTCTGAAAGCTTTGGCTCACATCCAGCTCAGTTCTGCTGTGGTTGTATTTCAAGTGCACGTTGAAGATCAGGTCTCTGAGAGCATGTAGCGTAGGCACTGCTCGTTTTCAGGAAAGGTGAGTGGGTATGAGACACGTAACCAAATTAGGCCTGGAGAGATGGGGGCAGATCTCAACATACACAGAAGATGTACCTCTGGGGACCTAGAGAGATGCATTGTTAAAACTTGAGTACCTTTCCATTTTATGTACCTTTCGGGGCTCACCTCCCTACACTGGGTCATTGACTGGTTTATTAACGCTGTCTAGTATGTAGCTGTATCCTAAAACTCACAACTACCTGTAAAAATACCTCTTCTCCTCAAGCAGGTGTGTATGAATCATGGTAGTCACCTCACTATCCTGGTGCCTCTGTGAAGTAGAGTGCAGGCTCGGCAGCACCAGGATCTGAACAGAGGATCTCCTGGCAGCATGGATGTGTGAGCAATGCTCTTGTAAGTATAGATCAGTTAAATAATTATGCAAATTACGGTCTTTAAAATGTATGAAGGAAGAGTGATTCATTAGTCCTATCAGTAGCTTTCTCAATTTTGATTCAAAGAAAAAAAAAAAAAAAAAGAAGACGAATCTTCTGGGTAGACTTGTGACTCAGTTTGCAGGAAGCTTACTTACTTAGGATGGTGGCAGTCCTTCACTGACACTGTTGTTTAGCTGAATGGAAGCCCTGCCAGAATACCTTTCAGCAACCAGCTAAGGGAACATTTTAGTTTAAATCTTGCATCATATACATATTAAACTCATAAGATAGAAAGCCAAATATGGCTACTCTGAACATCTGTTTTGATACCCTGTATGGCACAGGATTTACATTTCTTATTTCTTTTTTGCACTAGATAATATCTTTTAGAAAAACTTTCCAGAGGTGAACAATCCCTGAACTTTTTCAATGCTTATTTATCTTCAGTATTAGAGAACTTTTGTCCTGAACTGGAATTTGTCTAGCTTCAGGTTTTATACATTATGTTTTGCTAATTGAAAGGAATGATTATTGGATTTCTCCACAAGAAGAGGCCATTGCAGACCTTCATTTTCTCTCACCTGACTTTTAAGCACTGTGTCCCAGAAGGAATATAGCCACGAGCTATATGCAGCACTCCCCACACGGCAGGAAGGAAAGGCTGTCAGAGGTCTGGGCTGGCAAGTGTGTGGAGGAGGGAGCCATGGGATCTAGTCATCAGGCAATGCTTATTAAATTAAAACACACCCTCATTTCTCATGTCCAGTTACTACTCCTGTGATGCAAAAGAACTCACAACTCACACCAGGCCTTCAAAAAATGGAGCAGAATTCACACATATTTTAAAATGCGGCCAGCAGAAGCCTCATCTGTTCTCCTGTTGCCTGGAGCTGTGCTTGCCTAGCAGTGAGCTCTGGCAGAAAGTTCAAAGGTGCACCCCGAAGCCTAACAGAAGCCTTATTGCCTCTGTGCTGTGTTGTAAAACACTCTATGTACTTGTAAACAAAAAATTAAACACAGAGAGTCATTTAGGAGTTAGATTATTCAGTAACGAGACATGATCTGTGCCCTCCTTATTCCAGTGACTTCAAGCCCCGTATTTTTTCCCTCCCACCAGTACCCTAACAAAAACCACAGTAGATGTTCTGGGGAAGCACCAAAAGCAGCAGCTTTCTGGGGATGATCTAGAACTGTTCTGGTAAAGGGAATTCAAGGTCGAAGTCTCCAACAGGGAGCAGGGCAGTGTGGGCTATCAAGAAGCTCCTTTGCTCTGTTACCTGCTCCATGGACAACACGCTGAATGTGCAGATCAGATGAAGCCTGGTCTAACACAAAGTCGTGCATTTGTGACTATTTTGAGACCTAAGGAGACAGACTGAGTTTACGAAGATAACGGAATACATAAGGCTGTAGGACTGACTCAGTAGTGGGAACTCACCATGCTTTGCATAGCCTCTGTGTTCCCTGGGAGAAGAAAGAAAGGGAAAAAAAAAAGAAGAAAAAAAAAAAAAAAAAGGATGTGATCAAAATTGAGACACCTGTGCAAATCAGCAGTGAGACAAGGCATTACTTGTTTCCTCTTCAGGATAAATGCAGTGAACCTGACACCTTTGCAGGGAGCCCTGGCTAACCGCACTGACTCAGCAGTGCGCTGTGCTGGGGCTGACACCTGAGTTGGTTCTTTCAGCTGAAATGTGCGTGTTCCATGGCACCATTGCCAAGGGACGGGGAGCTGGGATACGTTCCAGCGTGGGTACAGGGCCTTCCAGGGAAAGAGGAGAGAAATGGTACCAAAGGAAGTATAAAAAACAAGCAACAGTTCTGATCTCTTTTTAACATACTTTAATAGCTATGGGTGAAAACGCCACGTGAGAACAAGGCAGCACTTTATGAGCAACACCGAAGGACTTTAACACTGAGGGCCATCAGATGGCCGGGCAGTGCCCACAGTGTGACGGCAGGTGAGCAGAGTTCACTGCACCGCCTTACCATGACTGCGTTTCCCATGTGGACTTCACACGCTGTATTTCTATTATTACCTATCCACTTTGTAACAACCTATCCTTGCTGAGAGCGCCCTGTGCTACGTGACAGAAAAGGAAGGACGACTTTTCCAGCAAACTGCAAGACCAAAAGTGATTCACGAGCATCTTTTGCCACCGGAACTCGGCTCTCTCGTCAGAG